CCTGGGGGACATAGACCCTCTCAGCCCATCTTACACTCATCACGGTGACGTCATCATCGGGAAATATGAGATCCACGTTCATTGACATGAAAGGCGATAATAGAGTATATCAGATTAGATAATATCAGCTCGTGTTGGGTTTCTCTGACTGCAGACTAACAGCGGTGACACTGAACAATTTCGAGCTGCTCTCTAAACACACGCGATTCGATTCTGGTATTTTGATTATTCACGCATTTTGATTCTAGGCGATGGGATTTTAATTTTTATTCCGTGTGGTGTATCAGTTTCGCGGGTCACTCTATTTGTTATCCTGTCCATTATTATGCAGTAGATAATCTCCATATGTAGATCTGTCAAGCTGGTAATTCGATAATGACCATGGTTTGTTTGGGCATAGATATATACTATATACATACATGTATATACATACATGTATATGTATATATGTATGCATGTGCGTACGCGTGCGCGTGTGCGTGCGTATGTGCGCGCGTGCGTGTGTGCGTGTATATGCACATATATGTATATAGTAGATATCAAGAGTAGATAATAACACATTATCTATTCTTATTGTGTTCTTATGTGTTATTATCTACTCTTGTAGATATATCTATAAGTGCGGGCGCGCAAACGACAGCAGCGCCATCTTTTGGACGAAACTGTAGCGAATGCTCTCCTTGCTTTTTAGATCTCTGCCGCAGGGACGATTGAAGAGGTTTTTGAGGAGACGTGCAAAACACTTGATGAGTGCCTCCCATCGTAGATTGTCTCGGTTGTCTATGCAGGGACAATCGTTAACACTACAGGCTTATCAGCGTGCACTTACTGGTTTGTTTAGCAGCTGTAACATCAGTAGCAAGGCACTGATATCAAATCATGCGGCAGGATGTACTGGGTCGAGGATATGCTGTGGTTAGACTAATAAATTGTGCTCTTTTATAATCTGGCGCTATTCTAGGATATCATCGGAATACGTACATGTTTCTGCGGCGCAATATCTTGGCCTATGATGTGGAATGCGGTTCTGGCTTCTTTCCCTTTCCTGAAACAAATATTTGTATGCATTTCCCTTTCCCTATTTTTCATCGATACGGATAATGATTTGAGCGGGATAGCTGGTTGCAGACCTAATAGCGATGTTGTGCACGAAGGTCTAGGTTGAGGTTAAGGGGTCATGATGCTTGTCTCAATGTCAGCCTTAACCTTGCCGTATACAGCCAACCCCGTGTATGTGCGTCGCTTAAGGAAAACCGTGCAAGCATCATTTATAAACAGGTGGCCGTTATACAGAGGTGGTTTCATCTGTATAATACTTACTTAAGGGAAACGTGACCAAAAGTGTCCGTTATAGACAGGTGTTCGTTCTGTGGAGGTGACAGCTATTACAAGTTTGACGGTATATTGCAAGTTGCATGTTGTCCGCAGTGGTTCTGGGACGAGGTGGGTAAGGAGTATGGAACTGAGTTTACCCCTCTGCATGCATTTATTGGTTTTTATTTGCGAGCGAACATTGCCAGGTGGTCGAAGTGTAGAGTGCGTTATTCGTGCGGTGGTATTCTAATACTGTGTACCATTAATCTGATTCGTCATTTTCCTTGATTAATCCTATTGCTTATTATGGCAGTTGGAACTTTGCATTTGTTCATGACACGGCTTGGCACTGCCAAGGCCAGCGCTATGCGTTATATAATTGTGATTTTTGTCAATAATTATCTTTGCATCCACGTTTACGGTCGCCTAGAAACATCGTAACATAATGTTTGTAGGGAAAATCGATGAAATTATTGCCATGGTTTGTTTTGTTGTCCCGTAGATGTGAGTTGAGAGACGAAACGCGTGCAAAACGCGTGCAAGTTGACTTTGTAGGGTGAATTCCTGCGTGCTTCTTTTTCATTTTATATTCGTTTTATAAGTATATACATCGTTTGACGTCATCAGTTTTATCATAAGCTATAAGCAAGCAGTAACACAGTATATTCACCCAACATGAAGTTTATCAGCTTACATTCCCTTTTGGAGAGAGGTTTTATGGTGCATAATTAAGAATTAGGTTAATTACCACACGTCTATATTCATTGTTAATTAGACAGACCCTAATTAAGACAGATCCGTGACAACAAAGTAACTATCGTGTTTGCATCGTATTCTTTTTCGTTGATTTTCACGAAACGTTTTGTATAATTGTAAATTTTAAATTCGTTAGTTTAATGATGAGATTTTAGTACCGTCTTAATATGACTAGATAGAAACCTATTTTAGGCTTGATCTTGATCTTGATTGTGTACTGCGTCGACCGCGTATACGCGTATTATGACGCAGGTGGTGGGGCACGGTGAAATTAGGCACTCCCGGCTGCGACCGCGACACAAATGGCGTCGATTACGGTCTGTGTGCAGG